GGGGGATAGAACGGCAGGTGAGGCCAGTACGTGGGTGGGACAAAATGGGTATGTGCACTTGGGCTCTCTTTCGTCTAAGCGCATTTCTTCTTTTTTGTCTTTTTGCCAATACTGTCATTGATACTTCTACTGCTGCTGCGAAAGTTAATAGTACTGTGATTACAAATGTTGTTGATATCATCAGTATTATTGCAAATCATCATTATTGTCATTTTGATTATTGCTACTTTATAGCTAGCGTTCGCATTATTGTAAATACTGCCATTATCATTACCATTACCATCATCGTCATTACCATAATGATTATTATCAGTGCCATCGTTCTTCTTCTAATTACTATCACAGATACTATTATAAGTATTGCCAGCATGATGCTCATTAACAGTATCACCATCATTGCATTGTCACTGCTGCTCCTATCACTGATATAATCATTATCACCACGAAATTAACACCACTACTTAGCACCGTCCTCTCACGACCCCCCGCCCCCCCTTCACAAATGGCTCCAACAACTTACGCGCTGCCGGAGTAGAGAGAATCCGTCCTGACTTCGAGGCGATCCCACACACACTGCCCGTTGCTGGCTCTCCTGAAGAGACTGAAGTCGTTCACTGTGACGATGGGATACTGGCACTCGTCCGGGGCGCGGATCCACCACACGCAGTTCGTCCCTGGATGGGTCAGCGTGCGGGTTGAAATGACTCGCTTTTATATAGGGTTATTGTGTATTGTGGCTCTCTCTCTATCTGTCTGTCTCTTTCTCTGTGTGTGTGTGATGTGCTGTGGGTTGCAGTAGTAGCGTTCTCGTCTAGCAATCTGGGTGACCTACAATCAAATTCCGCACTGCCAGTAGATGTTAACTGCGGTCATTCCTTGCACACAAGGGGTAATTTAGAAGCAATAATAAACAGACAACCTGTCACGTAAATAATAATCATGGTAACCAAATGGACTTAAACTGAATTATTAATCTATAATATTATGAATTATTATAATTATGTTCTCTCTCTCTCTCTCTCTCATTCTCTCTCTCTTTCTTGGAAGTGTGTATATGTCTGTTTACATATGTGTGTGTGTTATGCATTCATGTGATCCTACGGAGAATCCTGTACGTCTATGTACCTATATCTACAGTAATCACACAAAGCCTTCGTGTAAAGAAAGGAATTTACCTCTGGGAAATTTATAAGGGTAGTTTGGCGTTTTGATGGTCGTGGCGGCGGTGATATTCCCACCACATACTGGCGTCGCTGTGAGTAACGAGAAAGGGAAGGTGTCGCAAAGACGTATCGAAAGGTATATATTATCTTTTTACTTTCTTTTTACTTCTCTAATCGTAGAGGCTTCACTTTATGCTCATGACTTGGGTGAAGCAGCATGCAATCAATTTGTAATATATATTGAGTAACCATTGTACGTAGGACCTATAAATAGAAGTGTACTTACGATAATAAGAACCAGTGATATCAGCACACGTACTGCCCGAAGTGCCCGGGGGACACTTGCAGGCGCAGTTGGAGCCCAGGTAACCCCCGTTCTCGCAGGTGGGCGGCGAGGAGGAGCAGGAGGCGGCCCACAGATCTGTCGGAGGAGAGAGCATGGTCTATGCTCTGTGGTACCCTCTTTATTTCTATCGCTTCCCCTCTCGTTTTCACTTTCTCTTCCTCACTCTTTCTGTCACTCTCCCCCCCCCTCTCTCTCTCTCTCCCTCCCTCTCTCTCTCTGTTTCTGTCTCTCTCTCTCTCTCTCTCTCTCTCTCTCTCTCTCTCTCTCTCTCTCTCTCTCTCACACACACACACACACACACACACACACACACACACACACACACACACACACACACACACACACACACTCACACACATCAAATGAAGACCAAGTAGAACCTCTTCACCCACTGGACGTACTGACCTGAACAGCCGTACATATGGTTAACAATAGCGATGTCTCTGAAGGTGAGGTCGTCGCTCTGGCCAACATATATTTGCATGGCTGGGTCTAATGTCACTATAGTCGAACCACCATTCTTCGAAAAGCTCTGTGAACCAGCGTGAGCCGGAGTTAAGGAGAGTTTTTTAGTGGAAACGAATAGAAATATCGTTATCATCAGTGTGCAAAGTATTTATGCTCATCGGGAAGAAGTGGGTTTACGTTACCTTGGGGAAACTTGAGGTAATGATAACTGGAGAATGGAAAACGAACGTAAATGTGACTACGATTGATACTTTATTTCTGGATAGCTCTCTCTCTCTCCCTCTCTCTCTCTCTCGCTCGCTCTGTCTGTCTGTCTGTCTCTCTCTCTCGCTCTGTCTGTCTGTCTGTCTCTCTCTCTCGCTCTGTATGTCTGTCTCTCTGTGTCTCTGTCTCTCTCGGTCTCTGTCTGTCTGTCTGTCTGTCTCTGTCTGTTTCTCTTTCTCTCTCTCTTTCGCTGTCTCTCTCGGTGTCTCTGTCTCTCTGTCTCTCTCTGTCTGTCTCTGTCTGTCTGTCTGTCTGTCTGTCTGTCTCTCTCTCTCTCTCTCTCTCTCTCTCTCTCTCTCTCTCTCTCTCTCTCTCTCTCGTGTGCTGTGTGGTGCAGCGGTAGCGATCTCGTCTAGCGTTCAAATCCCTCGCCACCAGTGTATGGGAACCCCGGCCATTCCTTGCACACAGGGGATAACTTAGAAGCAAAATAAAACAGACACTATGTCACACCAAGAATATCCATTGTAACAAATGGAATCAAATTAAACCTTTAAAAACCTCTCTCTGTCTCTCTCTGCCCCCAATAATATGAAATATAATACAATTTCAAAAAGTGAAAAATAAAAAAAATCTAACATTGTCACATGTACAGGCAATGGGAAACATGCAAACGAAAAGGAGACATGTAATAAAAAATAAGCTGATAGCGTGGGTGGGTGAACCGAACGGACGTGGGATCGAATATTTAAATGCGAATCACATTATGTACAGATGCCTGACCCTAATCAGCTGGTCGAACAGGTGAAACTGTCCCGAAATGTAAAATCAGGCCTCAGATACCTCGATACTTACGAAATCACTGAGAATTCACCCTAATCAGCTGGTCGAACAGATGAAACTATCCCGAAATGTAAAATCAGGCCTCAGATACCTCGATACTTACGAAATCACTGAGAATTCAGCCAGACTCACTTGTCTTATCTCCATAGCCATCTCTTGATATTCTCTTTCCCCATTCATTCCTCTTGGAGTCGTTTAGCAACTAAGTCATACATTAACCCACTTATCAACCGTAAACATTTAGCTATCAGGGAGGAGAATCTCTTCGTGAGGAAGGGAAAAGAGGAAAAGGAAAGAGGAAAGAGGAAGAGGCAGGAGAATCTCTTCGTGAGGAAGAGAAAAGAGGAAAATGAAAGAGGAAGAGGAAAGAGGAAAAGGAGAGAGGAAGAGGCAGGAGAATCTCTTCGTGAGGAAGGGAAAAGGGGAAAAGGAAAGAGGAAGAGGAAAGAGGAAGAGGAAAGAGAGAAAGGTAGAGAGGAAGAGGCAGGAGAATCTCTTCGTGAGGAAGGGGAAAGAGGAAAAGGAGAGAGGAAGAGGCAGGAGAATCTCTTCGTGAGGAAGGGGAAAGAGGAAAAGGAAAGAGGAAAGAGGAAAAGGAAAGAGGAAAGAGGAAGAGGCAGGAGAATCTCTTCGTGAGGAAGGGAAAAGAGGAAAAGGAAAGAAGAAAGAGGAAGAGGCAGGAGAATCTCTTCGTGAGGAAGAGAAAAAAGGAAAAGGAAAGAGGAAGAGGCAGGAGAATCTCTTCGTGAGGAAGGGGAAAGAGGAAAAGGAAAGAGGAAGAGGCAGGAGAATCTCTTCGTGAGGAAGGGGAAAGAGGAAAAGGAGAGAGGAAGAGGCAGGAGAATCTCTTCGTGAGGAAGGGGAAAGAGGAAAAGGAGAGAGGAAGAGGCAGGAGAATCTCTTCGTGAGGAAGGGGAAAGAGGAAAAGGAGAGAGGAAGAGGCAGGAGAATCTCTTCGTGAGGAAGGGGAAAGAGGAAAAGGAAAGAGGAAGAGGCAGGAGAATCTCTTCGTGAGGAAGGGAAAAGAGGAAAAGGAAAGAGGAAGAGGCAGGAGAATCTCTTCGTGAGGAAGGGGAAAGAGGAAAAGGAGAGAGGAAGAGGCAGGAGAATCTCTTCGTGAGGAAGGGAAAAGAGGAAAAGGAAAGAGGAAGAGGCAGGAGAATCTCTTCGTGAGGAAGGGGAAAGAGGAAAAGGAAAGAGGAAAGAGGAAGAGGCAGGAGAATCTCTTCGTGAGGAAGAGAAAAGAGGAAAATGAAAGAGGAAGAGGCAGGAGAATCTCTTCGTGAGGAAGGGGAAAGAGGAAAAGGAGAGAGGAAGAGGCAGGAGAATCTCTTCGTGAGGAAGGGAAAAGAGGAAAAGGAAAGAGGAAGAGGCAGGAGAATCTCTTCGTGAGGAAGGGAAAAGAGGAAAAGGAAAGAGGATGAGGCAGGAGAATCTCTTCGTGAGGAAGGGAAAAGGGGAAAAGGAAAGAGGAAGAGGCAGGAGAATCTCTTCGTGAGGAAGGGAAAAGGGGAAAAGGAAAGGGGAAGAGAGAACATATACGAAGAAAATTGCCAAAGCTGACTCACGGTGGACGTGTAATGCATGAGAGAAGAGAAGTCATATGCCTGGCCATAGTCGGCAGTGGTCTGCTTTTGGAAATTGTACTCGACTCCGGGTCTCACGTTGTCTGTCAAAATCTGTAAGTAAAATAGATAGATAAATTCGCTAAGCAAGGAAACCCAGGGTTAAGGCAGCAATATCCCTTCAAGTCTTATTGAAATTCTGAATTTTTTTTTCTTTCATTCTTTCTTTGTCTTTTGCTTATTCTTCGATTACACATCATCACATCATTGCATTTTTTTATGAGAGCTTTTGAAATTCTGTTTCATTTTTTTCCTTTCATTCTTTCTTCTTAATTTTTTTCTTTTGCTTATTCTTACGCATCATCATTCTGTTCCTTTTTTTTTTCCCTTTCATTCTTTCTTCTTAATTTTTTTCTCTCTCTTTTGCTTACTCTTACACATCATCACATCATTGCATTTTTTTTATGACAACTTTTTATGACAGCTTTTGACAACTGACCTGCACGTACTCGTCCCTGTCTCCGCGGGTCTGCTCGTGGAAGAGACCGAGGGCGTGTCCCAGCTCGTGCTTGATGATATCTGCCTGAGGGTGACACTCGTATCCTCAGTCTGGTCGGATTTATCTCCTTATCCCTACACTTGTTGACATTTATCTTCTTATTCCTACATTTGTTTACATTTATCTCCTTATTCCTACATTTGTTTACCTTTATCTCCTTATTCCTACATTTGTTTACATTTATCTTCTTATTCCTACATTTGTTTACATTTATCTCCTTATTCCTACATTTGTTTACATTTATCTTCTTATTCCTACATTTGTTTACATTTATCTTCTTATTCCTACATTTGTTTACATTATCTTCTTATTCCTACTTTGTTTACATTTTATATATTCCTAATTTGTTTACATTTATCTTCTTATTCCTACATTTGTTTACATTGATCTCCTTATTCCTACATTTGTTTACATTTATCTCCTTATTCCTACATTTGTTTACATTTATCTTCTTATTCCTACATTTGTTTACATTTATCTTCTTATTCCTACATTTGTTTACATTTATCTCCTTATTCCTACATTTGTTTACATTGATCTCCTTATTCCTACATTTGTTTACATTGATCTCCTTATTCCTACATTTGTTTACACGTGTTTGGACCCTGTTCGTGTATGTATTAATCAAGTGTTTATCCCATTTTGTCGTTGTTTGTCTGGTCTTGTTTTACTCCTTGGTCAAGTGTTTATATGTGTATATCTAACGTGTTTATCTTTTTTGCACCTTTGCTCGTGCGTTCATTGATACAGTAAAACCTGAGAAAACCGGATCCTGAGAAAACCGGATCACTGTCCATTCCGGACAATATTCTCAGT